GCTGGTGGTTCAAACCCACCAGCCACTCCTCAGAAGGAAGGCTGGGCAATCCTACTTCTGTAGTGATACTGCCTCAGAAACCCAAGGAGGGGTTGCTACGAGTTGGGACCAACTCGACGGCACATAGCAATGACAACCACCACTCAGGAATCTCCAAGCCGTCTGTTGCTGCCAGACCGCAACTCCATGTGTCTCCTTTTTTGGTATTTTCACGTAAATTCTTCTGCTAGTTGGGGTTTAGTCCACTTTTGTATCTTTCCCTTCAAGGCTCAGGGGTCCAAGATTATCTTCTGTGTCTGTTAATTCATTTCCGTTTTCTTAGTTGAAGAGGGTCTGTGCAGTCCTTCTGCCTAGTCCGCCATCTTGCCAGAACTCTTCATTTTCTTTATGTTGCGATATAATCCATACTGAGATTGTAGTCTTTAATCTTCATCAGTAACTGCTTCAAGTCATGGTCACTTTCAGCAAGCAAAATTGTGTCGTCTCCATATTGCAGGTTATTTTAAAAAGTGCTTAGCATTGTTAATAAACGTTAGGTATTATTGTTAACATTCCTGTGTCTCACTTCTTCTTTCCACTTCAGATGGTTCCAGACCTTGATCCACCTGTTAAAAGGCAACATTGGCACAGGACTTCTGGGGCTGCCTTTGGCAGTGAAAAATGCAGGCATCTTGGTAAGGATCTTCATCAGTGGAAGGAATTGTGGTGATAAATTACAGATTATTTTGGTTTTGTTTTCATTTAAAACATTTTAAGATGGAAAAGTTTTTTTTTTTTTTTTAAATGCAGTTTAGAAAAAGCAAAATTCAGATATACATTCATCTGAAGGTATTTATTGAGGGCTTCCTTTGTGCCTAGCACTGTTCTAGAATCTTAGAATATCTCTCAATGAACAAAATAGGCAAAGATTCCTGCCCTCACGGAGCTCACTATGTTCAGGAAGAATGTACTTAAAATGACTCAAGTAGTTTCCCTCGGTAATACTAACTAATGGTTTAGTAACAGTAGTCTGTCTGCTTTATACACAGTCCTTCCAGGCCCCATCCCTAAATGGCCAACTCTGAGAATCTTACTATGGCTTTTTATGATTCACTCCCAATAGTACCATTCCGGTTTCTCCTAAGACTGGGACATAGCTCAGAGATTTGAATAGCCCTTAACCTTAATGTTAATCAAGCATCTTTATTGGTCTGGCATTGCTCTAAAGACAGCGTTCCCCTTCCATCGCACATGCCTCAACCTACTCTTCTTCCCGAGAGTCACAGGAGCCTTCCATTCTGCTGATTTGCAGCACCGTCTCATAACAGACATATCTTGAAGGCATGCTAGGGTTCAGATAGTGCCCATCTCACAGAGCTAAATCTCCATGATCCCATTTCACTTTCTAGTGCTATGCCAGAAGGAGCCCTGGTGGTGCAGTGGTTAAGCGCTCGGCTGCTGACTGAAAGGTTGGGAGTTCAAACCAGCCAGCTGCTCTGTAGGAGAAAAGCCCTGAGGATGTGCTTCTGTAAAGATTACAGACTAGGAAACTCTCTGAGACACTTCCACTCTGTCTTACAAGGTTGCTATGAGTCGGAATCAACTCGCCAGCACCTAACAATAATAACAATGCTGAGCCAGAAACTCTGTCTCTAGAAAATGTCTTAGTAGCATTTTAATCGCTTGCAAATTCAGTCTCTCTTGGGCTCACTTCTAATCCTACCTGCCTGTCTCTCCCCTTCTTTTCTGCAACACCTGTCCCCAGATGGGTCCCCTCAGCCTGCTGGTGATAGGCATCGTGGCCGTGCACTGCATGGGTATCCTGGTGAAATGTGCGCACCATTTCTGCCACAGGTGAGAGTCGTCTGAGCCACCATCCCAGCAACAAATAGTCCTTCTGGGCTCAGTCACTAACACTGGAAGTGACCATTTATGCAGCTCACTCATCCTCTGCACACTAGCTGAAGATGGCTGCTCATTATTGCGGCACTGCCTTCCCCTGGTTGTTCTTGTCTTCTTTTATAGCTCCAGAAGATAGAGACCACATTCTAATTTGTTCTGCCTTGTAATACTTACATTGAAATGATTCTACCAGATGGTTGTTAATTATAACGAAAGTAACTGCTGTTGACTTAACACCTCGGATCCTTGAACGCATTAGATACAGGACTCAGAGTGGTATCTCCAGGGTGACAGGGGACTGTCCTGTTTATTCTCTCATCTTACCACACACTAACCCACACACTCTGCCCTTCCTCTCTCCCTCCCCTTCTCCCAGACTGAACAAACCCTTTGTGGACTATGGGGATACAGTGATGTATGGACTAGAATCTAGCCCCATCTCCTGGCTACGGAACCACTCCCACTGGGGAAGGTAACTGGTTTCCTCTTTCATTTCAACTGAGCTTTCCAGTGCGGAGGCCTTCAGATAGGGAGGTAAGATGTAGGAGACAGTATATGTAATGGTGGAAAATGCATTGTTTGGGGAATAGGACTTAATGTTCTAGCTCAGCTCTGCTGGTGATAAGCTGTGTAATTGCTCCCTTCTCTGGGCCTCAGTTTCCTCATCAATAAAATGAAGAGCCTGGCCTGAAGACTCTCTAAGGACACAAAACAATTCTAGGTGTAGGGAGGGGAGGATTACCTGAGGTAAAATATTGGTCCCTGCCCTCCAGGGTTTTGTAGTCTATGTGTAAGGATAAAGCTGTGTGGGAGCTAGGGAACTATACAAGAGATCAGTCATAGTGTATACCAACAAGAAGAGAGTATCAGGAGATAGACGTGCAGCCCAGGCTCTCAGAGCAGGAGGCACTTTAACGATTATCTTGTCCCACTGTACTAGATGAGAGGTGCACATGGTAGGTGCTTAAGGGTGGGACTGCTGGACAGGAGAAGGAAAGGCTTCCAGGAGGAGTTGAGCTGGAACAAGATAGAGCAAGGGCTTTGTTAGGTAAAGTGACATTTCAGGAGGTGGAGAATATGTGGAAATTTCTTCTGTGGTAGTTTTTCTGTTACCTAGAGGGAAATCGTCTACTTTTTGATTCTTATTTGAAAAAATAATATATTTAGTTTGAGAGAATTAATATCAAAGGCTGAATCCTTTTTTTTTTCTTTAAATTAAATCACATTAAAACTATGTTTCTAAAGAAGTTAATTTTTGTAGTCGTAGAAAATACTTTTACCTTCCCTTATAGTGATGCAGTTTACATACTTCTTTCAGCAAAATTATTTTCTTTGACTGGGAGAAGCCAGATTGCCAGTGACCACCTCAGACTGATCAGTTAGTTAATTGATCACCCTTCCTCCCTCCCACCCTCCCTCCACCTTCCCCTCCTTCCTTTTCTTCTTTCCTTTGTCCCTCCTTCCTTCCCTCCTTCCCACCCTTTAATAAAATGTAATCGTGGTTAGGGGAAAAAAAAAATTCAAACAAGATGAAAGGACATAAAATGAAAGTAAATGCCAGTCACAGTTACATGCATATCCTTTTGGAATTATCTGTACATAAAGAAACATATACATGTTCTTAATTTTTTTTAACACAAATTGACATACTGTGCATACTGTTTTGAGACTTGCTTTTTTTCGCTTAAATGTTTTAGACATTCTTTTCTATCAGCACATAGAGATTTAACTTATTCTTTTTAATGGCTGTATAATGTTCCATTTAAGAATAGTCTATAATTTAATCATTTTCCTTTTGATGGCCCTTTAGGTTGTTACCAGCTGTTGTAATAACAGTGCTTCAGCCAGCAATCTATTTTGGTATATCTGTTTCTGTGTACTTATGTGAGAGTAGGTTGACTCTTGAATCTCAGTTATAGAAAGAGACAGGGAATGGGTCCACTTCTGGTCTCTTACATGGAGGGCTCCCAGTAGCTTTAGAAAAGTAGATGCGATGGGACAGGTGGGCAGGTGGATAGGGAGGAGGCCGAGGGGCTTGGGAGTGATCCTGGTGTTTGTACTATGCTCTGCTTGTCCAAGTCTTGGGATTTCCTGACTTTAGTAGCATTCTAGACAAGAAGCCAGGAAAGGGTCCTCAGAAACCACACAGATAACGTCTCCTTCACCTTTCTCTGAAACTTTTAGACTGGTAGCACTGAGCACAGTTTCTCTACCAGGGCATGCTTATCCATGTCACCCGGTGGGAAGGGTCTTTGATGACTTGGGTAAAAGCACTGTTATAAACACTTTTCCCTCTGGAAGTCTTGGTTTTAATATAATGATCTTTGTATTCCTTCCTTCTCATCTTCAGGCACATTGTGGACTTCTTCTTGATTGTCACTCAGCTGGGATTTTGCTGTGTGTATTTTGTATTCCTGGCTGACAACTTTAAACAGGTAGGGTCCAGATAAAGAAAGAGAGAATGGCAAGAGATGAGTGGAATTTCAGTTTAGAATTCCAGTTTAAATTAACAGAAGAATTAAGATTTTAACACTTTATATAGAACAGTGTCTTTTGCTCGGTTCTCATCTAAAGACCTAGGGCTTAGAGAAATCTCAAGATGTCTTGTTCATCCTCCTGTCTTTACGTAGATTAAATCAAACCCACTGCAGACAGTTGGTTTGCTGATGATACTCATGAAGCTCTCCAAACAAAGTTCACTGACCACAGACTTCTGTGAGGCCTGTTCCGTACATTGGGGCCTCAGTCAAGAATTTCATCCAGTGAGAGGCCTTTGTTGTTTGAAAGGCTTTGACTCTTTTTCCCTCTTTCCCTCATTGTAGGTGATAGAAGCAGCCAATGGGACCACCAACAACTGCCACAACAATGAGACAGTAATTCTGACCCCCACCATGGACTCACGACTCTACATGCTCAGCTTCCTGCCTTTCCTGGTGCTGCTGGTTTTCGTCAGGAACCTCCGAGCCCTGTCCATCTTCTCCTTGTTGGCCAACATCACCATGCTGGTCAGCCTGGTCATGATCTACCAGTTCATTGTGCAGGTAGGAGCCCAGATTCTTCCCCTGTGCACCCCCCCCCCACTTTAAATAATCAAAGGGACAAAGAAAACAATTATAACATAGATAGGTATCTGTTACTTATGTGTTAATATTTGGGTTAGGATTTCTCCACGTTGGCACTGTTTTGGCCGCATGAGTCTTTGTTATGGGGGCTTTCCTGTGCACTGTAGGATGTTTAGCGGCATCCCTGGTCTCTATCATTAGAGCTAGTAGCACCCTCCACCAACTGTGACAACCAAAAGTGTTTCTAGATATTGCCAAGTGCTCCCAGAGGGGCAGAATCACCCCCATTGAAATCACTGATTTAGACTTTTTCTGATTAAATAGTTAATGCATTATTGTTGTATAAACTTGGAAAATTGAGAAGAATATTGAAGATAACAGAGCTCTGGTGGCTCAGTGCCTAAAGCCTTTGACTGCTAACCAGAGGGTTGGCAGTTCAACCCAGCAGCCACCTGGCAGAAGGAAGACAGTACTTTAAAACTGTTTACTGATTTTATGTATAGCCCCTCTGCCAGTATGTGAGAGTGTCTGTTTTCCTGTCCTGGTCAACACTGGGTGTGTCAATCTGTTTCATTCTGGTCACTCTGACAGCTAACAGCACCTCATTTCCATGCAGTCTGCTTTGCAGCGAGCCAGTTACTCCCTGATGTGGTTTCTAGGAGAGCGACAGGTCATAAAAAGCAGAGACTTCTGTACTGAGGAAATGATATAATGAACTAGGATAACATTGTACTCAGTGGGCATTTACTGATTTTTCCTTATCATGGTCAGTCATCTGGGTGGCAGATTTTGACTCTTCTTCAGAAGTATTTTTAGAAGCATTAAATACATGTTTTATTTTGGGGGGAGGGAATGGGAGAAAGGCCTGTGAATGCCAGCCATTTGGTTAGCAGCCAAATGCGTTAACCCTTAAACACCCAGGGACTTCCCTTTAGAGTACCTCACCCCCCCAAAAAAAACCACCAAACCCACTGCCATTAGGTCAATTCCAACTCACAGTAACCCTATAAGAAAGAGTAAGGAGCTCTGGTAGCATAGTGCCTGAGGCACTTGACTGCCATCCAGAAGGCTGGCGGTTCAACTCCTCGAAAGGAAGGTTGGGCAATCTACTTCCGTAGTGATACTGCCTCAGAAACCCAAGGAGGGTTCGCTATGAGTCGGGACCCACTCGACGGCACATAACAACAACAACAACAGGACAGAGTAGAACTGCCTCATAGGGTTTCCAAAGCTGTAAATCTTTATGGAAGCAGACTGCCCCATATTTCTCCCATGGAGCAGCTAGTCAATTCAAACCACCGATGTTATGGTTAGCAATCGAGCACTAAACCACTGCACCACCAGAGCTCCTAGATTATAGTAGAGTTGTTTTGAAGTCTTTCAAAGAGTAACCTACACCCACTCCTACCCCCCAAAAAAAGTGAAAGGTAGCCTCCATGCAAAAGTTAATAATAGATTCCTTTTTGTTCACCTAATATTATTCTCTGGTAGCGCAGTGCCTAAGGCACTTGACTGCTAACCAGAAGGCTGGCGGTTCAAACCCACCAGCAACTCCTCGGAAGGAAGGTTGGGAAATATATTTCCATAGTGATACTGCGTGGGAAACCCAAGGAGGAGTCACTATGAGACAGGTCTGACTCGATGGCACATAACAACAACAATATTATCCTGCCACACTCATATTTATATTGCCCTACATATATCATATTGTAATCTTGTGCTGTATTTACAATAAACACTGATATAGTTAAGTCCATTTTAAGACATTTTGAAAGGTAGATTTAAAAACAAATTTGTTTTCATCAAAGTGATTTATGCACACAGTTTAAAAAGCCAAATTCTAAAAGGACGACAGCCTCTGCACTGCCCTCCCATGGCCATGCTGCTCCTCCAAGGCCACCTGCCAGTGGTAAGAGTTGTTCACTGGTGAGCTGAGGAGGATCTGTGACTGAGCTTCCTTGCTTGTACCACACTGCATTGTGCCCGCAGTTAGCAATTACCTTGTTTGTTTTTTTTTTAATTTGCTTGATGTTTTTTAATGTTCCTTTTGCTATTTCTTAAAATGTTCCATGTGTCTATTACTAGTATTTTTCAGGTGTGTAGACTCATTGATGGAAACAAAAAAAGAGAAAAGACAAAGAGCTAATCTAAAAATCCACTACTTTTTTTCAGCTTTATTTTGTGGAGTGTTTATTTAATTGTCCTCATAGTGAACATATAAATTATTAAAAATACATATATATATATTTTTCAGTATTATTGAATAAATAGGTTTTTCATGTCCTTTCTAGTTATTCCAATTTTTACTTTTTTAAGAGTACACAATATTCCATAGTACAGTTGAGGTTTGGTAATTACTGAGCCATTCACTTGTTTGGGAGCATTCAAGTTGTTTTCAGTAACTTTGTTAAACTTTTTATTTTTTTTTTTTTTCCCTACTAGTAAAATAATGTGCCTAGGAGCTCTGCTAGCGTAGTGCCTAAGGCACTTGACTGCTAACCAGAAGGCCGGTGGTTCAAACCCACCAGCCACTCCTCGGAAGGAAGGTTGAGTAATCTACTTCTGTAGTGATACTGCCTCAGAAACCCAAAAGAGGGGTCACTGTGAATCAGGTTTGTCTCAATGGCACATAACCACAACAAAATAATGTGACTATTTTACCAAGTTCTAACATTTATGTTTTTTGCAGGGTTTTGAACTGGTTCAACCCAGTTCAGTCATGACTGAAGAAGCGACAGCAGAATGGACCTGAGTTTTTAAAATGTGTTTGAACTGAAATGCTAAGTGGAATGGGAAAAATTACATTCCAAAGCTCTGCTAAAACCTTAGTCTCCCTCTTAGGCAGCAAGGGCAGCATGCATGTTGCCTGGCAACCAAATCTATTGACCAACTGAGTGGAAATCGGGCCGACCAGTCTCAAAAATGGCTGTCAATGGTGCTTCTCTCCACAGTCCTGGCAATAATCCATGGTCAAGAATCAGGCTCCTGAAAGGGCTCAGGATGTCTCTTCTGAGTATCCTATTTTTGTCTAGTGATTTTTCTCGTTATTGTTAGCATTCCAGATCACTTAAATTTTAAAAATTTGTCAATTTTAAAAAAATGTCATCTGTTCCTGTTTTGCTTTGTCATTCATGATGGAATTGGTACAAATCAGTTGAACCATTGGACAGTCTTTCACCAAAGCAAATAGGATTTTCTCAGCCTGAAAAAAGTACAAAGCTTTTATGCTTCCAATTCATATGTCCGGTATCATACTTTCCCTTTTCAGAGAATCTTGGATCTACAAAAAGGTATGACGTCTCTGATTTGAGGTTCAAATTTCTTTATAGCTTTTGGTTTTCTTTTCTGTTTTCTTTCTTTCAGAGCATCCCAAACCCCAGTCACCTCCCCTTGGTGGCACCCTGGAATACCTACCCTCTTTTCTTTGGCACGGCCATTTTTGCATTTGAAGGCATTGGCATGGTAAGATTTGCACTATAATTTGAGCCTGAGTGTTCTCTGGTGCCCTTAGTGTTCTAGAAGTCTGCTTCAAGGAATGCTAAGGAAATGCTGTTAGAAATTATCTTCTGAGACTTTCTGGCCAATTAGGGAACAATGTTGTAGGAATTTCTATTGATATTTTCCAAGTTTTGAAGATAAAGTATGTAATTTTTAAATGTTTACATTGAAAACCCCTCCAGTGCACACTTATATGTGCATGGCAATTAGAAATGCAGAGTCCTGAGTCAGACTGACTTGGGTGTAAGTCCTGGCTCTGCCATTAGCTTATGAAACCTTGGGCAAGGCCTAAACCTCTCTGAGTTTTCATTGCTTCTGAAAAGTGGGCTTAATAATTTAGTTGCTAGGATTAAATGAGATGATACATATAAAGTGCTTTGCATAGTCCTTGACACATGGTAGTTCTGGTGGTGTAGTGCCTAGGGCATTGGACACATGAAAGCTCTGGTGGCATAGTGCCTAAGGCATTTGACTGCTAACCAGAAGGCTGGCAGTTCAAACCCACCAGCCACTCCTCGGAAGGAAGGTTGGGCAATCTATTTCTGTAGTGATACCACCTCGGAAACCTAAGGAGGGGTCGCTATGAGTCAGATTCAACTCAACGGTAGTGAGTTTGGTTTTGGTTTTGGTTTTGGGTTATTAAAATATTATTAACTGAGTTATTCAATCAATAAACATGAATAATTCCTCTGTCATGGAACATTGGTGTTGTGTATTTTCTATGTGTAAATGAGTCACCTTTGCTCCTGGCTCAGCTTCCCCCCATTGTTGCTGTGACCTCACCTAATTCTTCTCCTAAAGAGAGGAATGTGCCACTCAATTGTACCTAATTTAATTTATATTTTTCATAATGAAGGTCCAGAATTATTCTCTGAGGAAAATTGTTAGTTCTGGTGACCGAGGACTGAGGAAATGGGAAGAACCTTCTCCTTCCATGGCATTCCTTTCTTTCCTTGTTTGACTTCCCTATTGCCTTTCATACTTTTACAAAAACCTAGAAGCTGGACTTTTTTTTTCTGTCAGAATCCTGAGGAATCACCCTGGTGTACTTAAGGAATGTGGTAAGGCTCTGACATCCTAGAGGAGGCTTTCTAAGTAAACTATCACCCTTCGGTCATGATTGAGTACAAATCATTCTTCCTCTGTGCTCTTTCTGGGGCTTCTCTTTGCCCTCAGAGAGTGCTTCACCCTGATGCACACACATAGTTGGGTTCCTTGCTGCTGGGGTGGAGACCTGAGTGGGCCTGTATTTTAACAGTGAGAAGCAAAGTCCCAAGTACTTAGGGCTTAAACAGTGTATGTGGGAAGATGTCAGAGATCCTGTGTTTTTAAGGAATGTGGTACTAAATTTATCAGTTTTCCTGTGCAGAAGTTGTTCTTTGCTTCATTTCATTAGCCATGGCTTGGATACAGTCATTACGTAAACATAATTATCTCTTCTTTTAAGACTTCTTTGTGTTTTCTATTTTTACTATAGGAGGGAACATTGCTAATTGGAACCTTAGATTTGGATTGAAGTATTTTCAGTGGGTCAGGGTAAGGGGCCCAGCTGCTGATGGTGTGTTCATCATGTCCTTTGGGTATTGATGCTGCTGCTCTAGGTCTGACAGAACATAGAGGACATGGGCTCCCTGCCCTCTGTTTCTTTATACTCTTGATGTGAAGGAAACTGAAGGATAAGTATAGAAACTTCTAGTTGATGAGGATTAAGTGATGCCTAAGATCCCTGAACTGGTGTGGGGGTGGGGGAGGCCCTGAGGGCCAATGGCAATGGGAGAGTTATGGTACCCCTTGAATCCTCGTGCCAGCTGTGTGCAGGGCTGTGTGGCTGGCATAGAGCACTCTCCTTCACAGCTGCAGACACTCAAAGAAAATGATGTAATGCCAATCTCAAAGGCAGTCTGTGGGGTAGACATTGCACTGTGTTGCTTTTCCTTGTCAGCTGTACCAGAGCCAGTTGGTAGCACTTGTGAACATAATCATGGTCATACCTGCCATTTGCTTTGTTCCTAAATGAGCTCATCTTTATAAGAGGGCCTTTTTTAGCATAGTGCCTAAGGCACTTGACTGCTAACCAGAAGGCTGGTGGTTCAAACACACCAGCCACTCCTCGGAAGCAAGATTGGGCAATCTACTTCAGTAGAGACACTGCTTCAGAAACCCAAGGAATGGTTGCTATGAATCAGAAATGACTGGACAGAAGTAAGTTTGGTTTTTGAGGTTTTTTTTTCCTTGCCTAAGGAGTTTAGGAGCTCTGGTAGCATAGTGCCCTAAAGCATTTGACTGCTAACCAGAAGACTAGTGGTTCAAACCTACCAGCCACCCCTCAGAAGGAAAGTTGGGCAATCTACTTCCATAGTGATAACTGCCTTGGAAACCCAAGGAGGAGTTGCTATGAGTCAGGTCTGACTTGAGGGCACACAACAACAACAACAACAACAAGGACTTTTGGTGGCTCAGTGGTTAAGGTATTTGGCTGCTAACCAAAAGGTCGGCAGTTCAAACCCCCAGCTGTTCTGCTGGTGAAAGATGCTGCTGTAGAGATTTATAGCCATGGAAGCCCAATGGGGCAGTTCTCCTTTGTCTTATAGGGTCATTATGAATTGGAATCAACTTGATGGCAATGGATTGGGTTTTTGTTTGTTTCTTTGCTAGGAACCCTGGTAGTGTGGTGGTTAAAGTGGTTGGCTGCTAACTAAAAGGTTAGGGATTCGAACTTACTAGCTGCTCCACAGGAGAAAGATGAGGCAGTCTGCTTCTGTGAAGATTTACGGCCTTGGAAACCCTAGGAGCAAGTCTACCCTGTCTTGTAGGGTTGCTATGAATCCGAATTGTCTCAATATCAATGAGTTTGGTTTGCTTTGTGTTTTTCTTGCGCTAAAGTTAAAGAATGTCCTTTGTTATGAGGAAGGAAGCAGCAAGCCTCAGTGGTTTGAAATAGGACTCTGGAAATGAGGCTTTGTTATGGACCTGAGTCAGACATGACTATTAAGTCATGCCACCTCCCCACCTCAGTTTTTCTAACTCAGAGATTTAACATGTCTCCCCTGGTGCCTGCCTTTACTGAGGGAAGGGCACTGTTTCTGGGAACTACAGTGGCACTTTTCCCCGACTTGCCTTTCTCACTCTTTGGATGGGTTTGCAGGGAGCTGTTATCTCAGTTGGGTTCAGCCAGCCTGTGCCATCACAGCGTCCTGTTCCCATTCAAGCCTGATGGGCATGGTGAGAGAGGTTGCCATGCAACTGACTGATAGAGCAAAGATCACCCCCAACTGACAGGGCTCCTACAGCAGGAGAACAGCTCACTGACCTGGCCAGGAGCAGGCCTGTCCTTCCCACCTTTATGTCTCAAGACTTCTGGGCTCAGACAGTGGGCTCCAGGGCCTTCTCTAGCTCCTGGGAGAATAAGTTCTAATGAAGCAACTTTTGTTTGGTTGTTGGTAAAGGACACAGATTTGCTTTTGACGATACACTGGGAATAAAGAAGTTACTTTTTTCTGAGGATATTAATATTTTTTTGTTCGCTATTAATTTTGCTTTTTTTTTTTTTTTTTAATGTGCTTTCTCTCCTGTCTTACTACTCTCTCATAGGTTCTGCCCCTGGAAAACAAAATGAAGGATCCTCAGAAATTCCCCTTCATCCTGTATGGGGGGATGGCCATCATCACTGCCCTGTACATCAGCTTGGGGTGCCTGGGGTACCTGCAATTTGGACCTCACATCCAAGGCAGCATAACCCTCAACCTGCCCAACTGCTGGTATGTGGGAATGGATGAAAGGATGCTTGGAAACGCTTCAGAGTTTTTTAAAAAGGGATGGATCCTAATGTGGATTCTTCCTCCGAAATATCTCTTATTTAAAATTTTGTTATTGTTGTTGAAAATATACACGGCAAAACATACACCAATTCAGGGACAGTTCTACTCTGTCCTATAGGGTCACTGTAAGTCAGAATTGATGGCAATGGGTTTTGGACAGCTGGACAGATTTGAAGTACTTAATGGATTGACAATGCTTGGCAATACACAGTGTCCTTAAAAAAAATTACTTGATAAGTAGACAAGATATTTAGATGAACTTGTGGTCATTGTAAGTCTGCCTCTATACACCAAAGTAGGCCATTTTAATGGTTTTAAACCAAATACCAGATAACTAACGTTGTTTCTTTAAGAGGATATGGTGAAATATTCTAATGTGAAAAAAAAAATCCACCAGTTCAACAACTTCTACATGTACACTTCAGTGACACTGATTAGTCTTTAAGTTGTTCAACCATTCTTACTCCCTATTTCCGAATTGTCTTCCCTCGTTGACATACACTCACTGCTCCCTAAGCCTCCTTTCTAACCTTTTGAGTTGCTACTGTCAATTTGATCCCATATAGATATCTAATTGTCTCCTAAATCAGCCTACTTCACGCTAGCCTACTGCTATAACTAGCCCCTATGCCCCCACCATCCCTCACTGCTGCCCACCTGCCCGCCTGCTGACTGGTCTCCATGCCTAAGTCTTACTCTTTCCCTAACTCTGTTCTCCACCTTGCTGCCCTCAATCCAATCATGCATTCCCTTGTTAAACCTCAAAAACTTGCCTGTGCTCCTAAGATAAAAACAAAACCCTTAACACAGCTGCCAAGGCCTTTCCTCCTCTAGTGCTCTCCCCACATAAATCCTACTCAGCCAGGAGGGCTTAGCATAGCTTAGTTTATTCTTTTTGAGAAACTTCCTCTTGATATGCCATCCCTGCATCTTCAAGTCTAGGTTAAATGCCCCTGCTTTGTACTCCCACAGCACCCTGTACTCACCTATCCTCATTTTTACTCCACTGTGTTGTGAGTGCCTGCTTACTTGTATTGTGTTGTTGTTGTTGTTGTTATATGCCGTCGATTATTGTAACCTCCCTAAACTGTAAGCCCTGTGAGGGCAGGAACAGTCTTGTTCACCTTGTATCCCAGTGTCTTGTGCAATGCCTGGCACAAGATACTTACCTCAAGAATGAGTTGTGAATGATAAGGAGGACTACACCTGTGAAGCATTTTATAGATGAAGCAACATTATCAGGAGGCAGCTTCCACATTCTAGCTGTGTGGCTTTGGACCAGTCATTTGGCCTCTCACTGCCTTAATTCTCTCTTCTGGGAACCAGGTATAATTATTTCATCCCCCCAAGATTGTGATGAAGACCAAATGATATGCATGAGAAAGAATGTTGTGATGCCATATAGGTGTATGGATAAGCATGGTGCTGCCTTGAATTTGACTCTGTGTTAGATGCACTAATTCTCATGGAGGCTGATGCTGAATCCTTTAGATACAGCTAAGTGATAAGCCACTTCTCCCTGGAAATTCTGATCCTGGAATGCACTTATCCAGTGAATTCGCTTTAAACTAGTCCAGATAGGTGGGGAGAGAGGAGACAAAATCTGCATCTGGCGACCAGCATCTGCTGTCTCTCGCCCTTGGCAGTCGCAGGCCTGATTTTAAGGAGAGAGCATCTCATGGTGGATTAGGGCTATGGGGAGCCTTTTGTACCTCACTCTCAGTAACTGTTGGTTGATGTGTTGTAGGGAAACACTGAGACACGCTAAAATACTTCCTAAAATGGTAGCTGTCATAGGGTGTGTCTTAAGGAACAATTCTGTTTTGAAGGTAGTATTTCACTGTGGAGAGGAGCTGTTAGGAGTCACTGAGAAGCTTGCTGACTGCCCTGAGGGTCAGAACCACCTTTCAGTGCAGCCTCAGTGATCTGCGTGGTTTGGTTTTCAGAGCTCTGATTAGTAAAACCATGGGCGAAGACAGACTGAAAAAATTGAGGAAAATATTTGTGTGGTATACCAACCTTTAGCCCAGGATGCCCTCATCAGCAGGGGCTTACAGACTAAGTTTGCTACATGGCCAGACAAGAGAAAGTCCCGAAACGGGCCATCATTTTCAGAAACAGCCATTCGCTCTCCTTCTGGTGCCTGTTTTTCAATTTCAAAGTGCTCCTGCCTTTCAAGAAGGACAGTCAGGTGTCACCATTCCCCAGAAAATAAATGGATCGGGAGCAGCAGAAGCAGCCCACGTATCCTGAAGCCGTAGCTGAGCATCTGTCTTCTTTCCTCTGACACCCAAACACAGCTGCCCTAGTTGTTCTCCCAGAGTGTGATTTATTTGGCTGTCCCTGCAGATGACTATCCCGACTCTAGACTCCACAGCACAACAGAAGGCTCTAGTGATGTGCTGAATCTAATTATAAAGTCGCCAGCTGGTTTCTCCAAAGAGTTTTTATTATCTGTTCCTGGAGCAAGTAAAACCTTTTGATCAAACTCAACCTTTCCCATGGTGTTCTCCTGACTAGTGAGAATGGTTAATGAGCTCAGCTGCTAACCAAAAGGCTGGAGGTTTGCATCCACCTTGAGGCCTCTGAAGAAAGGCTTGGTGATCTACTTCCTAAACACCAGCCATTGAAAACCCTATGGAGCACAGTTCTACTCTGACACAAAGTGGGTCACTGTGAGTCGAAATCGACTCCACGGCAGCTGGTAAGGGGTCTCTTGCTCATATCATAAGAACATCTAATCTCAATCACAGAGAAACTCAATGCACATAATGCACAAAATATAACGGCTACATTTAAATAGATTTCCAAAAGGAGAGAGCAGATGTTTTTCTCTGCTTAATTCATGAAGGTCTTATTTGAGGTGGCACTGTGCTTTGGAACAAAGTGTCCCTTCCCATTAATGTTCAAGTCAGATCTATAAGTACAGACCAATCACAGACATTTTTCTACTCTGCATAGTCCTAGGCACTGGGGTGATAATAGGAATATCCAATGGTGAGTCGGCAGCCTCCCTGGGAAGCTAGCTACACATGAAGGGATGGTAAGAAGGCATCTGTTGTTGTTGTTGTTATGCGTCATTGAGGCAGACCTGACTCATAGCGACCCCTCCTTGGGTTTCTGAGGCAGTATCACTATGGAAGTAGATTGCCCAACCTTCCTTCCGAGGAGTGGCTGGTGGGTTTGAATCACCAGCCTTCTGGTTAGCAGTCAAGTGCCTTAGGCACTACGTTACCAGAGCTCCCAAGGCAGCTGCAGTAGGATGAAAAGACGGATTCTGCTCCTTCTGCCATCTGACTTGGATATGAAAGAAGGGAGCACTGACTTAGATATGAAGGATATAAATAGTCTTGTCACACTTACATTTCACTTCTAATTTTTGTGTTTATAAAAGGATATATGCCTATGGTAAAGATTCTAATTGTTCAGAGGGTATACAGAGAAAATTAAGTTTCCATCCTCTTCCTTAGTCCCCAGTTCCATAACCGTCCATTTCTAAGACAACCAGCCATGTTACCAATTTCTTGTGTGTCCTTATGGAGATGTTCAGTATGTGTAAGAATGTAATAGTGTGTGCTGGGGGGCAGTTGTTTTCACTCTTTCCTTTTTTAGGCAAATGGTTGCACACTGTAGACAGTGTACTGCCCCTTAATTTTGTTCACTTAACTGTGTGTCATGGAGATCATTCCATAACAGCAGGTAGAGTTCTGTCACCTATTTGTAATATGCGTGGGAACACCATCACTTATTTAACCGCTTTCCTATTGATTAGCATTTAAGCTTTGTTCAGTCTTTCATACTTAAAGCTCCAATGAAGTATTTTGAATGTAAGTTTGTGTGCACATGTGCAAGTGTATCTTCAGGATACATTCCTAGACATGTGCGATTGAAACTGACGGCTATCACCAAATTGCAGTGGGATCAACGTGCACGATTTTCAGAGTGTCTTGGCTCTCTCTATAGGTTGTACCAGTCGGTCAAGCTGCTCTACTCCATTGGCATCTTTTTCACCTACGCCCTCCAGTTCTACGTCCCTGCAGAGATCATCATTCCCTTTTTTGTGTCTCGAGTACCAGAGCATTGTGAATTAGTCGTAGATCTATTTGTCCGCACGGTCCTGGTCTGCCTGACATGTGAGTAGAGACAACATAATTGCCTTATTTGTTTTTTTCCAAAGAAAGCCCAGTTCCTAACGCTTTCATAAGAGAAAGAGGCAGGGAAAGAAAGTGTATATGCTGTGGTGAAACTGCCTATACTGTGTGAACAGAAATCTTGGTCCATTATCTCGGTTGCAGGGCTAAGGTATAACCAGATGGTAGAAGTCATCTTAAGTGAATAAGGGAGCACTGGTGGTGTAGTGCCTAAGGCATTTGACTATTAACCAGAAAGCTGGTGGTTCAAACCCTCCAGCTACTCCTGGGCAATCTACTTCTGTAGAGATACTGCCTCGGAAACCCAAGGAGGGGTCGCTATGAGTTGAAATAGAATCAATGGCAGTGAGTTTAGTAGTTAAGCTGTCAGCTACTAACTGAAAGGTTTGTAGTTTTAACCCACCAGCCGCTCTATGGGAGAAAGATGTGGCAGTCTGCTTCTGTAAAGATTTATATCCTAGGAAATCCTATAAGGCAGTTGTACTCTGTCACATTGTGTCTCTACGAGTCAGAATCAACTAAATAGGGGTGGGTTTGGTGGGTTCTTTCTTTTTTTCTTTTGGTACTCCAAAAGGGAGTCCCTGAGTGGTTAACAGTTAACATGTTTGGCTCCTAACCAAAAAGTTGAAGATTTGCATCCACCCAGAAGCATGTTAGAATAAAGGATGATCTAATTTCAAAATACAGCAACCATCGAAAATCCTGTGGAGCCAGTTCTACTCTGAGTTTCATGAGAATTTTTTTTCAGTTTTTAGTTTTATTATGATTTGGGTGAAAGTTTATGGAGCAAATTCATTCTCCATACAACGTTTCATACACATTTTGTTTCATGACATTGATTGCAATCCCCATAATGTAACAGTTCTCTTCCCACTTCCTCCCTGTGGATACCTTTTCCTTGTGCCCTTCTTTCCTATGCATTCCTGCCCCCTGAGCCATGCAATCCCATGGATGATTGTTCTAAGGAGTGTACCTTCCTGGTGTAATCATTCACCCTATAGACCTGTCTATTGCTTGCCTGGAAGCCACAGGAGTGAGTTCAGTTCCAGGCCCAAAGGGTGACTAGGGGCCGTAGCCTCAGGGGTTTCACCAGTCTCTATCAGACCACTTAACTTAATCTTTTATGATTTTGACTTTTGTTCTACGTTTTTCTCCCACTCTATCCAAGATTCTGATCTCTTTCCAAGTGGTTGGCAGTGGTAGCCAAGTCACGTGGGGCTTTTTAATACTCTAAAGGTCAGGGAGATGAAGACAGGGTAGATACTGTATGTAATGTTGAGGAAATGGTGATAATTCAGAGTAAAGATATGCAATAACTATCCCATATAAAATAAAAGTCTAAGAGAGCCATCTTACCCATATCCTTAATGAATATAGGTACAGGTTTGTTTTGTCAAATAATTATTTTTCCAGTGTGCTAGTCTTTTCCCTGGGTATAATTTTGAGCCTTTCTCATACTGTCCCAGAAATTTTTTGATGTTTCCTTTTGCTAAATGTATATTTTAAAAAGTTTGTATGATTAATCTAGGTGTTTATCACTTTGCATTTTATGCCCCTTCCCTAATCCCAACCCAAGGAGTGTTTGTTGAGTTGAGAGACAGGGTGTCATCCTTTTTCACTATTGGTTAAAAAAAGAATTTTTTTTTTTTTTTTTAATAGCCTTTGTGGTAGAGTAGAGAACCCCTGGACTTATTGGTCTATAATATATAATTTAAATTTCTAAGAGATTTGTAGTTGCTTCCCAAATTGAAATATTTGAATCATAAATTTCTCTTTTCTGGCTCTGTGTAGCTTTATTTTCTTCAGGTTTTTTCTCTGGGGACAAGAACCTTTTTGCTTGTTGTATTGAGACTTCTCTGGGAATTTCCTTACTCAATCTGTGCTTCTGTCTTTACAATAAAGAAAAGGTGTCTGATTTTTTTTTTTAATTGGGTCAGTGTGGATTGTTTCAGGAATGAAAGATGTGAATGTTGTCTGCCATTTGCTCATAGTCTGGGAAATCAGAAATGGCTTTATGAGCTGACTTCTAGTGAGAGAAAGGCAGGCAAGAGGCCAACCTTTTCTTTCCATCCACTTGAGCAAAAAGTCAGTAGTGGACTAAGGCCTATCCTAGAATGAACCTCTTACAGCCACCTGCAACTCATATTTCTCATTTTACTTCAAGGATAGTGTGTGGGAGCCCAGTCTTCTGGACCTATGTGTGTAAAGAACTCACTGGAGGTCAGGAAGGGAGGGCCTTCCATACGCTTCTGATTAATCCTGGACAGCACTACTCTAAGGATTTCTTGGGGAGGAGGGTGGCCATCTCAGAGTTCCTAGCCCCAGAGAGGTGATCCCAATGAAGAATGTGGCTTCTGCTTTATAGCTTTTATTTGGCAGGCCTTCAGACCCTCTCCTAAATGAGCCTGTAGAAACAGCCCACTCTACAAGCCAACAAATCCAGTACCCAGGGTTGTCTGTAAAGGTAAGCTGCTTCTCCCAGAACGACTGAAAAGGAGGGGATGTGAGATACCTTTCTTTTCTAGTAAATTGCCTTAATGTTGTTGTTGTTGTTGTTATGTGCTGTCGAGTCAGACCCGACTCATAGTGACCCCTCCTTGGGTTTCTGAGGCAGTATCACTACAGAAGTAGGATTCCTTAATATTCACTGGCAAAATAGGATGCCTGGACTCTTGATTTTAATCCTGTCCTCTGCCTGCGGCTCTGGATGGATTGATTTGGATATGAATGTTTCCTACATGTATAGATTAACTCTGAGTGTTTAGGAGACAGCTTCTCTGTGTTCACAGTGTCTATATTCTATTCTTAGGACCCCAGTTCTTGAATCTAAAGGACATTGGGAGAAAGGATGGGGTGGCTCACATAATTCATTTTTCTCAAAGTGGTTCCTCTAGATAAAGTAGTTCTGTCTAGGTAAAATATTGTATAACTGATGACAGTCCTTTCTCTGTGCCCAGTAGGGTTGGAGCAGTAATGTGGGGCCTGATTGCTCCGTCTGCCCCATTTTCTCCTCAAGCCTGGCTTTGTCTCCAGGTAGCATATGGCTTGCTTTCTGCCAGGTGTCTCTGATTCATAGACCTTTTGTTATCCTTAGATGCCTCTTGATTTTTTGGTTGCTTTTCCTGGCTCTGCCTGTGGGCCTCATCTCCCTTCCACAGCATGATGCTCGAAAGACACTAGCTGCTTTTTGATCTTCAAGAGCACTGGTATTTCTTTCCCTTCTCCTATGATCTCCCACGATTTAGAGTTGCATCATCATCCTATTCAAGAAGGCAGCCCTTTCATCTCTGGCTTCTCTCACTGTCACTGGAGACTTTGAAGTCATTGTGGGATTTGTTAGAGGCATTCCAGTGTAGCACCACCTTAAAATGTATTTGTGCAAGTTCATTTTGTTCTTTTTCCTCTCTTCCTTCAGATCTTTCAGCATAAGGTTGATTGGTATAGGATTTTAGATTGTTTTCAATTAGGCCCATGAATTATCATTGCAGCTAGGGTCATCGCAGTTTCTAGAGTTTGTCTGTTCCTCACCTTTTCCTCCACTCCCTATCACCTTCCATCACCAAGGGGAGCAGGGAAATTTGGTCCAGTCTCATTTTTTTCCACTTGGAATTCAACTGTCTTACCACCACTCCTGGGGAGCTGTGGTAGCATAGTGGCTAAGACATTTGACTGCTAACCAGAAGGCTGGAGGTTCAAACCCACCAGCCACTCCTCGGAAGGAAGGTTGGGCAATCCTACTTCCGTAGTGATACTGCCTCGGAAACCCAAGGAGGGGTCGCTATGAATCGGGGCCGACTCAACGGCAAATAACAACAACGACAACAACCACTCCTATCCCCAAAGTTGACTGGTGTCTACTTCTTGGTGTTTCATTTTGGCCTGTTGGAGTGGAAGAGATGGGAGAATGAACATTTCATAGAATGGTGCTCATTTTGTTATGATTTCATGTGGGACATTATTTACTTCCAGGTCATGTGTTTTGAAATACAGACTTATCAGGTCCCCTATGTCCACAGCTTGTATAGAAAGAGAGGCTGGGAGAGACTGGCCCTACACTGGGGAGTCAGAAGATGTAGAATGAACGTTGCTGTTGTTAAATGCTGTCGAGTTGGCTCCAACTCTTAGTGAACCTGTGTACAACAGAATGAAACACTCCCTGATCCTGTGCCATCCTTACAATCCTTGCTGTACCTGAGCCTATCATTGTAGTCACTGTGTCAGTCCATCTCGTTGAAGGCCTTTCCCTTTTTCATTGACCCTCCACTTTACCAAACATGATATCCTTCTCCAGGGAATAGTCCCTTCTGACAACATGACCAAAGTAGGATGAATAGTTTCTTTGAATTCCTTGAGGCACTAATCTGTCCTTCAATGATTCCTACCACTTCTCTGTGGCATTTACCACGTGAGGCATTTTACTTCAGTTAGGTACAGAAAAGTTGGTGGTTTGAGTCCCACCCAGAGGCACCTTGGAAGAATGGCCGGGTGATCTCCTTTGAAAAGTCAGCCACGAAGCACAGTTCTACTCTGACACACACTGGGTAGCCATGAGTCAGAGTTGGTTTGTTTTTTTTTTAGATGCAAGAATTATAGAACTTGCAATAATAAGAATTTCAGCTTATTGTTGCAAATGTAATGACATCAAACCATAGCTATTAAGAGGCATGTTCAGACTAGAATGCACACAAAACATTCCAAGCAGCCAGACCCTGTAGAGCATGAAACTTCTGGATTCAAGCAGAGTGGCTTCTCAACACCTTTTAGCCTTTCACACTTGTCAGTCTTGGCAGCTACAGTGTAGAAGAGCAGCTTCAGTAATTGACTGTGTATCTGGAGTTCCCCCAGCAGTCCTCACTGGACCTCAGTTTCTTTATCTATGAAGTAAAAAAAAAAATCTGATCTCTAAGGTTTCTCTTAGGAGCATTGGTAGTGTAGTGCTTAAGGCACTTGACTGCTAACCTGAAGGCTGGTGGTTCAAACTC